AGACAGGTTTACAACATTACCGATAAAAAATTTAGAGTTTAGAGTTATCTCTTTACATATATCAATACATTATAAATATATTGTATTTAACCTGTCCGTGTAACTTACTGTCTATCAGAATTGACATAACTATCAATATCAATAAATGCAGAAATTAAGACAATCACCAGTGGTAAACCTGAAGTACAAGAATTATGAATATTGATGTCATAATTGGGTTTTACGAAAAAAAAAACAAATAACATTCGACATAGACACATAAATGTTTCTTCAATGTTAGAAAATATCTTACCCCATGCAAATAAGAAAGCTTTCAAGAAAAAGTGTCGCACATGAGAATCAAAAACTTTTACAAAAAAGTAGTACATATGCACAGCTTGAACACTCATCCAAAAGATGGAAGACAGTAAGAAGTAATGCAAAAACGCTCCAGCAACCACACACGATCGTTTGCTGTCAGTTCTGTCAATTCCAGTAAGAAATACAATATACAGACCAAGCAAGGACAAACACAGCTGACTTAAGATCCTCTTTGGTTCACTTTTCCGAAATTTCCTTAAAAAAACAGGGGTATATTTATACACACCATAATTCATTAATTTATTCATTCATTCGAACATTAATAATAGTATTAATAAAAATGATAACAACAACTTGGCGACTGATACTTGATTCTGCTGTAATAATATTGATATTATAGCTAGACATAACAGAAATAATAAAACATTAAATATGTGTACACACCTGCTGGTGACAAAAGTAAAGACCGTCAGGAAAAGTGAGAGAATCGATATACTTAAACCAACTTTTGTGATGATGTCAGCCGGTGGTGGCAGAACATCCATGTCTACGTCATAGAAATCCTATATTAAAGACAAAAAAAAAAAAGAAAATAGAAACTGGAGCGTCAATAGTTTATAGTTCAACTCTTTCAAAGATGGCAAAGACTATGAGTGTTATATGGCACTCCACATTGGAATTTTACCAACCAGGCATATTTAGTTCCTACTGAACGAGTTAAAAAGGATTTCCCTGAGTGTCAGTCAACATAAAAGATTACCAATCAGAACATGTTAGAAATAAGTGCATGTTCCGGAAACAATAATTATACGTTTACGTTTTTTTTTTTTTTTCAAGAAAACGTACATTTTAATTGCTGTTGGCAATGGTATTTGGTCTATTAAATAAACAACTAATATTTGTCAAAACTAACTTCAGGAAGGGTGTTTACAATTATAATCTTGAACTTTTTTAAACACATTCATATTATGGACCTTTTCGAAAAGGTCAGTTATTAGTATACGTTCTGCTGAAATACAATACAATAATAATACTGTAATAATAATAATAAAACAATATTGTTAATTCCTGCTATTAAATTAATAATAATAATAATAATAATAATAATAATATTAATAATAATAATAATAATAATATAATAATAATAATAATAATAATAATAATAATAATAATAATAATAATAATAATAATAAGTTAATAATACAATATTGGTAATTCCTATCAAATTGCCAATAAACAAAAATGCTATTACACAGAACATGTAATAAATTGATAGAGGTGGATTAGGCCTACACTATTGCCAAAACTCATGTGTTTACTAATAGAATGTTATAGGACCTTAGACAAGCGCAAGTGCGAAACTACAAAATGGCGTAGCTCTACTGACAATCAGAATAAGTGATTTCATTTGTTGATTTGTTTTTTTCTAATTCACTAGGCATCCTATGCTTACCATAAGTATGGCAAAGTTTGTAAGGTGATTACACTCGCAGTACTGCCTATCACTCCCATCTGTAGACCCATTTACCAATGAACAACCCTCTGGTGACCATCCTCCAGTTCCGTTGTCAAGCCCGAAGTCCCAAAATACACATGTTGTATTCCTGTTAGTCTCAGAGATCTGAAGACAATACATTTTAGAAAATATGAGAAATTAATTATTAAAATGAGAAGATTTAATTAAATAAAAAATATATTAACGTTATCCAAAAATGCAGACAAACATATTTTTTTAAGTAGCGTACCATGCTATATTATTTTAAAATTGAAGCTACCTAGTTGGTAAAAATTGTTTATAATCAAATTAATGTAAAGTAAATGTAATAATTTGAGTTTAAAGTTTTATAATTTTTACTAACCCTTTTGGCAATTTCAAAATCATTTACCAGTCAGATATATATCTTTTATAATTCGTCGCTCACATCACAAACTAACACAATCGAAATAGATTGTGCTAGTTTTGGTTGTCAAGCAATTTTGTATTCTTTACCACACAAAAAGTCCTTAACGACAACAGCGCGTATTTTGACGCGCTTTTTTGATTTCACGAACTAACACAATTGAATTTAATTGTGTTAGTTCGTGATGTGAGCGACGAATTATTAACACCTATAATACTTGCAATCGATGACGCACACTGACGCATATACCCTAGTCGGGTCCTCTGTCGGTATTGATTCATATTCAGATTCAGATAATCAGACTACCAATACCTCCACTACTACCAAGATTATTATAAATAATGCTTCTTCTACTAATTGTTTTTTTTAGTACCATGGGGCTATTCAGGCGAGCATTATTGAAGACGGTTTAATAAATCGTCAGTAATATACGCGTTTAAAGCCATCATTGAGTAATTGGTGATATGTGATTATACAAAAGAGTATTGAAGAAATCTGACTCTCGTGGTTTCGTTGGAACGTAATCTTATTTCAAAAAGTACTGCCAGGAAGGGGCTAGTACTTAAAAGACGAGTTTAAGTCCTTAAAAGGCGAGCGGGAGACGCCCCCTATCTTGTGGCAATACATTTTTTTAATCTTCCATTGCATGCATATAGAATTAGGGCAGTCGTACTTCTTTCAGTTCTGTAATCTATAAATATACAACCTGAATGTTCAAGTCCTTTATTATATCCTCATTGTATTACTACTTTTATTATTAATATTAATTTAGTATTATGAAATAAGTACATTCTAATCACAAAAGTCAGCAAAAAAGTTACTTCAATGGGAAGAAACGTTATAAGGATAGGTTCATCCAAATCAACACGTTCTAAGCCAGGGACAGACAGAGAAATAACTTGACTATTTGGTCTCCGTCTGGAACTTTCATTAACAAACTGAGATGACTGGAACAATCTGCTGTCGTTATAGACAATAACTACAATCCGGAAATCTGGAGAAAAAAAAAGACAACACAAACACATTTCAGGCATCAGATTTAATTTATCGTGGTAAGCTTTCGAAATGTAATAATTATGACGTTTCATGGGCACACAAGTAAAATAAATTACAATAATTTATCGCAATGCTTGTGAACAAATTCTGATAAGGATCGAACCCTTGACCTATAGATAACCAGAATGGTATCATAATCACTAGACCATTGAGAGTTCCAAATAAATAATAATAATAATAATAATAAAAAATTGACATACCTGTCATATTACTTTCCATAACGACCTCAGAAATACTGGCTGGAAGAGCAATTGACACATTTGCAGAATCGGGTATTTCCTCGCTTTCATCAATTGGTTGAACCTCACCTACATTATTCTCAGTTGATTCTGATATATAGCTAAGATAAGTTATTTCCTCTTCACTGACTTCACTGACATCAACCACCTGAGCCTGTACTGCAATATTGGGGGTTATTACTTCGTAAACGCCTTTCTCATCAACCTCCACCTGGCTCAGTTGCTCTTCAAGAACTTCAACAATCTTAGTTGGGGCTTGATCTTCCACTTGACTTTCCATCAGAATTTCTTCTTCAACGCTGAACAAGTTATCAACTACGCTAACAACAGCACTAGTCACCTAATAATTTAAAAAAAAAAGAATATCGTTTGAAGGTTTGCATGGCGAAATTAGTAACATATATGTGAAAGCTTGCGGTACACCATTTAGGTAGTTCTGAACAGAACTGTTGTAGTTTAGAAATGTTTCGATTGAGTTGTTTCAATCATTTTCAGGAGAATAATATGAATATCACTATAGCACAGAAAGAAAAAGAAAGAAAACCAAAACATTTATATTTTTAAGAATAGTGTTTGTATAGGATACGTTTGCATGTATTTATTTGTGAATTAAACTATGAATCTGTCATACTAATGTCTTTTAAATGTGTTGGTTAGGTCGGATAGGCGGTATCTCTGCCTGATGTGTCAGTGCGGATATACCAGAGTGACTGAGTGTATACTATTTATCTAGTGACAAGTTTAGGGTGTGAGGTTGGTACATATAAATATTGCTGCATGTCTGTAGGTTTCTTATGACAAAGTGTCATGTGTCATGCTGTAGTGAAGTCGACCAATCAGCGTGTTGGGATTTGCATAATTCGGCGTAGACATTGCCACTACATTCTTATAATAGGCATAGTAATATAATATTTAACTGTAGTGTCTAAAAATTGTGAATTATAAAAGTAACTGAAGTGAACCACCAAAAGCGAATAATCTTTACAAATACCTCAGTAGAATCAGAATCTGTACTAAGAATTTCCTCCATTATCTCAGCAGTGGATTCTAATGCTTGCACAGTAATCTCTTCTGCGTTACCAGTAATCTCTTCTACTTCCATGCTCACATCTTCAACGTTTTCTAGTGTGACATCCTCCTATAGAAGCAACGATTGAGGAAATTAACATATGATGCTAATATTATATAAATAAATAATTAAATAATAAAATACAAGGCAAAGAAAAAAAAAGAAAAGAAACCCACTACTGAAATACCATTACTGTTATTGTTATTGTCATTACCATTAACACTCAATTAAACTCATAAGCAGTAGTAGTGACAACAGCAGTAGTATAGAAGCAGTAGTACTTTTATTATAACAGCAGTAGGCCTACTTGTAGAATAATAGTAGCATAAAAGTAGAAAGTAGTGGTAATAGTAGTAGCTGGTAGTGGTAGAAGTCGTAGTTGCAGTCGCAGCTGCAGCAGTTAAGGAGTAGTAATAGTATTAGTAGTAGTAGTAGTAGTAGTGTTAGTAGTAGTGGTAGTAGTAGTCTTGTCTAAAAACAATAACATCTGATCATTACCTCCATTAGACGTTTTAACAGTTGTTCGGCAGTGGCGTCGGGTCCGCAGTCTGCTATTACATGATTGCCCCAATACGCAGGACGAAATCCATCGCCGTTACAAGTTCGATTAGCTAGACGTCGGCGATCTAGTGGTACGATAATGGTAATGATTATTACCATTCATTATGGTAATGAATATATATATACATATATATATATATATATATATAGGCCTATGTGTGTATGTATATATAATGTGTATATATATATATGTATATATTCAATTTATTTATTCGGCTCTTCAGGGGAAATTCTTTTGTCTATGATTTCCCCTTAACGTCGCTTTAGTTTCCCCTTAGCGACACTACTTTCGCCTTATGGTACTGTTTTTAACCCCTTCATTGAAAAGAAAGAAAGTAGTGTATGGAAACAGTAGAAAGAAAACGAAAGGAAAAGTATTCAATGACAATTAAAAAGAAAGAAAAGGAAAGATATGAAAAGAAAGCAAAGAGGAAAAAAAAAAGAAAAGAAACTAAAAGAGAAAGAACACGAAAGGAAAGAAAAGAACACGAAAGGAAAGAAAAGAAAGAAAAAGAAAGGATAAAAGAAAGAAAAGAAACAAAAGGTAAGAAATAAATGAAAAATAGAAAGAAAAGAAACTAAAAGAGAAAGAAAACGAAAGGAAAAAAAGAACGCGAAAGGAAAGAAAGATAAGAAAGAAAGAAAAGGAAAGAAAAGAAAAGACTGAATTTGTAGAATAAAATTGGTAGAAAATATTTTTAAAAAAGTAGCCTAATAGGAAGAAAAAGAAAGGAATGGTAAGTATATATCTAAGGAATGCACGACAGCAGGATTCTCCTTAAATGGTTAAATTAGTTTGAATATTTCAAAATAATGGCTAATTTTTCTAAATTAATATGTATTCACAACATAATATAATATAATACAATAAAATTTAATATAATATAAGAATATTATGAGATGTAATATGCCAACTAGATTTCCTAGTCAATGGCTGCAAATAACTGATATATTTTCAGTGGCTAAATTTATTATTATTATAATATATATGTATGTATATGTATATATATGTATGTATGCAGTAAATCTGGCAATTCACTTTGCTGTCATAACATTTTTTCTTTAATTGGAAGGAGATCTGTATTATATTAAGCATATAAAATATTAGGTCTACGTTTATAAAATAAGTAGTACTTGTTAATGAACGTGCGTTCTTTCTGAAATATATTGCTTATATATGATATAATATATATAATGCTTATGTTTATATATATGTGTATATACATATATATATATCATATATATATGATATATATATATACATTTTATATATATATATATATATATATATATATTTGTAAGTCATTAAATGCAGTAAATCTTACAATAAACTTTGCTTTCATCACATGTTTCTTCTGAGTCAACAGTTTCTCCTACACTAGCATCAGGAAATGTGTACTGGTCACCATACTTTTCTCCGTCACAAGTTTCTGTTCCAAAAATTAATTTAAAAAACAAAATCAAAATAGGGAATGGGCCTAAATGAGAATTGGATGCTGGTACTTCTTTTTCAATTTAACTTAATAAAATGCGAATTACTTTCTGTTCTAAGAGTATTTAGGTAACTTTTATATACTTATGTCAGGTTAGTGGACCTTTCAGAAGTGTCAATCAAATTTAACGACTGACCAATCAGAACAGTGCCAGGAATACTCGCGTGTTCAACAAACGCACATGATTACGTACACTTACACTATTTTTTTGTATATGGGACCCCAGCAACAATGTCCAAGGGAAGGGGTTTAGCGGAAAGGTCCATTGCATCTGGTTAATTCTGAATTATCACCAATTCATGGCCGGACACCCCCCCCCCCCACTTTTTTTTTTCAAAAAATATGTCTGGAGATTTTTGTATGACCGGAAAGAAATGCATGGAAAGAAAGAGGGAAGAAGGAGGAGAAGGATGGGAAAGAGAATGTTTATCCAGTCCCTGACCGAATTCTAGACCTACCTTTTCAGGACCCATGAGCTGATGATTTTTTATTTTTTTTTTTAATTTTACAATAAGAAAATTAGAATTTTGAAGAACATAAAAGTCATTAAAACACATTTCAAATGTCGGGAAAGCTCATTTCCCGCCATCTATGAATCAAAATTTTCCCGGGGAAGAACCCCCAAATCACCCTACCTTTCTTTTTGGGATTTACCGATTCATGGAAAAAAGAATACGCATGCAACTACTCATTTATTTATGTATGTATACACACATAAAATAAAAAATGAGGGGGAAACCTTGAATTTTGAAGAACTTAAAAAGTCATTTAAAAGACATTTCAGAAGTCAGGTAAGCTCATTCCCCGCATTCTAGAAATCGAAAATTTTCCCAGGGGCACCCGGACCCCCTTCTTCATTGATTCATTGCATCATTTTCAAGAGGGGGAAAACCTTGAATTTAAAAAAAAATAGAAGTAATTAAAAGAAAATTCGTATCGAACTACTCAATTTTTTATGTATGTATGTATACACACATAAGGCCTATTTACTGTAATAACAAGTGGAAAAATTTACCTGACCGTTTTCAAGAGAGGAAACCTTCAATTTTGAAGAACTTAAATTAAAATCGCTAAAACATACTTCAGAAATCTGGAAAGCTCATTTCCCATCATTTAGAAATTAGCATTTTCCTGGCAAGAACCTCAACCTCCCTTTTCTCTTTGGGTTCATTGATTCATTATAATAATTTTCAAGAGGGGAAAACCTTGAATTTTGAAGAACTTTTAAAAGTCGGGAAAGCTCATTTTCTGCCTTCTAGGTATAAAAAAAAATCGTATGCAACTACTCAATTTTTTTGTGTATGTATACACACATAAGGCCTATCTACTGTAATAACAATGGGAAAAATTTACCTGACCGTTTTCAAGAGGGAAAAACCTTGCATTTAGTCGTTAAAAGATACTTCAGAAGTCGGGAAAGCTTATTGCCCACCATTCTAGAAAATCAAAATTTTCCCAGGATCCCCCGGACCCCCTTTCTTTTTGGGATTTATGGATTCATGAAAACAAAATCGTATGCAACTACTCAATTTTTTTTTATGTATGTATACACACATAAGGCCTAGGCCTATCTACTGAAATAACAATGGGATAAATTTACCTGACCGTTTTCAAGAGGGGAAAACCTTGAATTTTGAAGAACTTAAAAGTAATTAAGACACCTCAGAAGTTACTTAAAAGACACCTCAGAAGTCGGGAAAACTCATTTCCCGCTTTCTAGGAATCAAAATTTTCCCGGGGGAGAACCCCGGACCCCCCTTTCTTTTTGGGATTTATGGATTCATGGAAATCAAATCGTATGCAACTACTCATATTTTTTTAATGTATGTATACACACATAAGGCCTATTTCCTGTAATAACAATGGGAAAAAAATTATCTGACCGTTTTCAAGAGGAGAAAACCTTGAATTTTGAAGAACTTAAAAGTAATTAAGACACCTCAGAAGTCGAAAAAGCTCATTTCCCGCCATCTATGAATCAAAATGTTACCCCAGGACCCCCTTCCCTTTCTTTGGAGCTTATCAATTCATTAAAAAAAGAATACGCATGCAACTACTCATTATTTTTTTTTATGTAATTTTCATAACAGGCCTACTGTAATGAGAATGAGAAAGTTTACCTGAATTTTGAAGAACAAAGTCATTAGACACCTAGCTCAAAAGTCGAGAAAGATTATTTCCCGCCATCTAGAAATCAAAATTTTCCCGGGGGAAGACCCCCGAATCCCCTTTCCTTTTCGGGAAAAATGTTGACCCCATCCCTAGCCTAGGTTTCATTCCAGATCTGCATGATTCATATTCCCATTCATCTTATAAGTGGGCCCCTCCACTTTGAAAAACGTTCCGCCGGCCCTGCCAATGGTAATATTTCATAAGTGTGTAGACGAGGCTGCACATAATGTAACAGTTGTCTTTTGTCCGAAGTATTATATCATTAGACATTAAAATATACATAATATAGATATCGAATATTTAATTTCAACTTCAATAGTCCCTCACAACTTTAAACCGACCAACCTGAAAGTAACTTTGTTAAAAAATGTAATTTGAAATAAAAAATGTGTTTTGAAATGTACCTGTACTTTGTATCACAACATTTTCCGAGTCGAGTAATCCATTAGAATTATTTCCTATTCTGACTAACTCCTCAGTTAGACTTTTTGATAATTCTTCATAGGAAGCGTTTGAGTTCAGTACATAGAAATTAATATCTGCAATGACGCTACCAAGAGAAAGGCGCCGTATTTGCATGCTTACATCCCCATTCAACGACAAATCTTTGCTCAACTGAAAGATAAAATAATATAATAGTATTATTATAAGCGCTTTACATTATTATCCCAGGTAGGTCACTGGATTAAGCACATAATGAACACGTATTTAGCTCGCTTGGGAGAATACCATAACGTTACAGTTGTAATCAGCGCATTTTGTGTTTGATCCTACCAGGTACCCACTTGTACTCCTGGGTGGAGAGAAACAACCAGAGGTTAAGTTCTGTGAATTGCACAGGCAGGGAGAACCTCCGAACTAAAGGTTGAGAAGCAGAACTTAGTGTTGACATTACATTGCAGAAAAAGGTGTTCTTACAAGTTCGAAGACATAACGAGAGCCTTTCGAATAGTTATTGGAGAAGGCTTTTTTCTCTCATCAATGAAGACTAAGTAATTTCTATTCCAGAATCTATGCACAAAAGCAATCTTATTCCTATTTATAAATTAATTTAAAGTGCGGAAGGGGCCATGGGCCTTCCGCTGTGAACATATAGAAACATCCCAAATCCAACTCTATAACTCTATAATTACAGACTAGTACTGGGTCGTAGTATAATAATAATAATAATAATAATAATAATAATAATAATAATAATAATAATAATAATAATAATAATAATAATAATAATAATAATGGAGACACTCGAATAACCCATAGGTGTTTCTCATCAAGGCCGTGCAAGGCCATAGATAAGACGAAACAAAAATATTGAAAACAAAATGAATAAAAAAAACAAAAAACAAGAAAAACACAGCATCTTAACTACAAGTATCCCCCACCGGACACCAACCCGGTTTTTCTAAGTTTCGGGGATGACAATGAATGAAATCATAAGTTATTAAGAAGACTTTGCTTGGAAATATGTATATTGTAAGAACATTTAAGTTCACCTAACAAGCCATTTTAGATTGAACTAGATTCCGTAGATTCCTATTCATCAATTGAGATTTCTGCGTTGACACCAGTATTTTTAAATTAAAAACCCACCCTTTAAAGCTTATAATGCGAATCGGAAATATATTAAGAAGTTGGCTAGAATACCAATTTCAGAAAAGGTCTGACTAACTTAGGATATGGTATATGAGTATATTTGTACTTGTTTCGAAGTTCATATGTCACTTACTTTGTCTTTGATTAAAATTGGAAGTTTTACTGAGGAGCCAATGGAGACAAAAAAGACCGTTGATTTACAAAGTTGTTTGACAACCCTTTTCTGTATACATTTTAATATATCTACATTTCTTACCAGCTCGCTTGAGCCATCGGGGCATGTATTATCAAAAATATATTCTGTGGTACTGTACTCTTTTTGAGTGTACTTACAAAGTTATTGAGAAATGATGATTCTTCTTTGAAAGCTGCAGATGATGTATCAGAAAAACTTTCGTTGAACATACGGTTAAATGTCAGAGACGCAGGAAAAGAGTACGTACCTGAATTGGTATGATTAATTTAAAAGAACAGCTAATGAAAAAACACTTATAATACTTGTAATATCTTAATAAAATTAAGTTCGCTAAAATTGCAGCTTAATACAATCCTAAGCAAAGATCACACTTTGCATGCATATCCTCTACACTCTACACAAACTTCTCATGAAACCCCAAGATATAGTAAACATGCTTACAAAACAAATACAGAGGAGTAAATTTCCCACCAAAATATTAAAATACTTACTTGATTTTCACCCTTGAGTGAAAAAAAAAACTTGTGTGAACTTTATAAATACAGAATTTACATTTCCTATTATTTTACGTACATATAGTGTTTCCATTCAATATATAGAACTTTCGTAGCATGAAAAAATGAAATATGCAAATGCTTGCTTACCATTTACAACGAACAGAACCTCTGATGAATTAACTAGAGTATCCTTGTGAGGTCCTGCTCCATATCCACTGCATGTGTAGTATCCTTGATTATCAATGGTCATTACAACTGTTATTCGATTTAGATTCTTTGTTGAGAAAAGGGGAACATTATCCTTATACCACTGCCAGTCACCTGAATTGGCCACTTTGCACGTAAGATCGATAGATTTATAAAGATTGGCCTTTACTGAAGTTGGAAATACTGTAAAAACTGGAGAATCTACAGAAAAAAATTTAAATATATGTACATGCTACAGTCGAGTGGTCTGTGGTAAGGGAGGGCGCCGCTAACTATGGCTTTTAACATCAGTCCTGGTTCGAACCAAGTCTACTCGGATATGGACTTAAAATGAAGGTCTAGTACACATCTGGACAATTGTATATTTCTGAAAAGTAAGGGATCCCAATGGTGAGGTTCATTTCAGCCCCTTTAGTTGTGGAATGATATGAATATGTACAGCCACTATCAGCACCTCTTTATGGCGGCTAGGTAGTCACGGATTACGTCCCATACTCAATTCAGCACATTGATGGTGATGGTGATGATTAATAGTGATGGACATTGTACAGTCGGATTTCTATAATTTACCTGGTTCATTTTGACATAAATCACCACTATAAAACACTGGACAGATACATTTGAAATCTCCACCAAGATCTTGACAAGTCCCACCATTTAGACATTGTTGATCAGAGCAGGCATCTATTTCAAACAACACATTCAAACACCTTATATTAGTACTGTACTACAAAAACAATTATTCACATATTTCTTGGTATCGCTCTTTATAAATTATTCCCCTTGCCCTATTAACAGCCTTCCAAACTGATATACAATTGTAACAGATTATGTTATTCTCCTATTTGAAATTTAAATTAGCAAGCTATTTTCTACACCTACCAATGACAGTAACATTAAAAGAACACTTTGCAATATTTCCATTTACATCAGTTGCAGTATAAATGACAGAGTATACACCAATGTCTTCCCATGAATCTTCAGGTGAAGCAGAACCAGTTAGGTTAACTTCCAGTCCAGAATTATCGAGTGGTTTAGGAACATTCCAAGTAGCACTTTTATCGGTATTACTAACAACATTATCCGGACAAACAAGATAAGGTTTTTCCATATCTAAAACAGTAATACGTATATTATTAAACTATACACATGAACTTGTATTGCCGAATAAATATTCATTAGATAGATTGTTTTGTTATTAAACTTACAAGTTAAATTATATTTACTTATTTGTAGAGAGCATTGCATGTACAAAATGCAAATAAATAATACTATAATAAATCATTATTTACAATATAAATATAATATTTGCACAAAACTGATAATCATTATTTACAATATAAATATAAAATTTGCACATAATTGATATAGTAAAAAGATAAAAACAAACAAAAAATAAAACTGCAAAATAACCAGTATCAAATATAAAAACTTAAGAAATATTGAAGCTGGTATGTCAAATAAAATGTATAATAGAATCAATGATAATTACCACCAACTTCAGAAATATATCAGTTTAGACAAATCCGGTAAAATTTTTACCTCATTAACAAAAACAACTATACACAAATTCATTTACTGTGCAAAAACGAAAGAATTGTTATGTATTTCTATAGATTTTGCTCTATTTTTCAGATTTCAATCTGTGGTATTCTGTGCATTCTTTGTATTTATTTGCTATATTTATTTTAATATTCTTATTATATATTACTACATTGTAGCGTTAATTTGTTTGTATGCTTTTACCGAGTATGAAACAAATGGCATATATGTTAAAAAGGTGTAACTTAGAACAAAATAATTCAAAGGTGATGTATAATAAATACAATTAAGGATTACCTATTACTGTGATGATAAATGAACACTCGGCTGTGTTTCCCTCAAAATCCTGTACATTGTACACCACAGTTGTATTTCCAATTGGGAAGGCAAATCCTGGTGAATGTGTTGACATTATTTTGAATTGGCCTGAGTTATCTTTGACTTGAGTCATCCAAGTTACAATGGCATCTGCACTCCTGGAATCAGTTTCAACAAATGGCATATTTGGTGGACATATAAGAATTGGATCTTCTGTATCTGGAAAAAAGAAGAAAGGTTACTTAATTCACTTGAATAAAAGCTAAAGAATATAAATTACATCAATCAAAGGTTGGTTGACATAATCTTACCAATAACAATAACTTGAAATGAACATTTAGCTGTGTTGTTAGATCTATCTGTAGCTGTATACTTCACCTCAGTTGAACCAATACTAAATATAGTATAGGATTGTAAGTTTGAATCAAGCTTTGGATTAATTCCACTGTTGTCAGATGCTGTCGGCAACTCCCAAGAGACGTTGGCAGTTGGTAGATTTGGATCAGTGGGGACGGTCACATTTAACACACATTTTATCAGAGGTGGTGTTATATCTATCCAAAAAAAAAAAGAGAGTAAGAATTACTATAAAAATTGCAAATATTCAATTTCAATTGAAAATTCAATTTCTACCAAAGCATATTGAAAAAAAAAACAATTCTGAGGCTGATTATTGCAATAAACTGTGTATCCTAAGGAAATCTCTATTGTCAGGCTATTAAACCTTTTTATTTTCTACTAATGTCTATGGGTAGCCAAAAGGTGATCATAGGCCTACAACGAGATTTATTTTTGTTAAATCATACTTTTAATAATAAAGCCACACTAAATCCAGATGTACAGTATTTGCCTATTCTGAGTTACACTGTCTCTTCGTGAGTGAAAAAAAATGCAATCAAACAAATACATGTTTTAACTGTTTGTACAAAATGGTTAAAAAAATGCAAACAAACAAATACATGTTTTAACTATTTGTACAACATGGCTAATAATACCCTAGAAGCTATTAAATAATTAATATGAACGTTTTGAACAACATCAATAATATAATCCTACCAAGTACAGTGACCTCAAAGGAGCATCTTCCTTCATTGCCAGCAGCATCAGTTGCTATATAAGTAACTACTGTTGTGCCAATGTCAAAGTCATACGATTGGTTATAGTTCTGAGTCATGCTGACCACACCAACATTATCGGTGGCATCTTCTAATGTCCAATTAGCCGTGGAGGTAGAACTATCCATGTCCAAACTTACAGTCACATTGTTAATATTGCAATCAAAGACAGGCACCTCATAATCTTGATAAAAAAGATAATTTACAAAAATATTTATATAGTCATCTTAAATAAATTAAAAGTGGATAATCAACATACTTTTTAGTAAATATGGAATATAATGAATACAAATTGCTTTAAATTATGTTAGTATTGGTACTGGTGGTATTATATGCATTTTAGTACCCTAAAGGGAACACAGAAATAAGCTAACGCAACAGCAACATCTGATGACGTCAGCGTAGACAAGACCACAGTGGTGGTTGAAATCTTGCTCAGTAGGTTTACCATTTATATTTTAAGGTTAAAGGTTATACATAATTTAACATCTTGAATAGATTAATTTTCATCAATCTAACACAATTAGTCATGCTTGTATAGTAAGTGTTAAGTCTTAGGGAGATATGTTGGGTAAATACCTCGTCACTTGATAGGAGTCGAATCTAGGACTTTCACTTTGGAATGAATTCTGATTGACTAGGCCCCCAAGTCAACTCAGCCCCATTAAGTAGGCAAGTAGCTTAGCCCACCACAGCACTATTTGAAGCCCAAACCACTACAATATATTCAATTATATAGAATGTTCTTTCATTGGCATCAATTAAATAACGTTTTCTAACCATTATCATACAACATGGCATTTTTAACGGGTATAGATCAATAAGTCTTTACTTACATATACACACACAAGTAATATCCTTTGTAGTATTTACGCTTACTATAAATATACTATTACTATTATATGCTCTACATTGTAGTTCCGTATTGAGCATTGTATCAGCTAATACTGAAGTACCCTATGTTTTATCTATTCACTACTGTATATATTTAAGAAAATAATATATTTTGATGTCTAGTGAAGCGACTATTATATTGAACTGTGTTAAATACCTGACACAATAACTGTAAAAGTGCATTTTGCCACATTGTCATGTTCGTCTATTGCAGTGTAAGTAACTATATGACTACCAACACCAAAACCATCGTCAGGGTTTGCAGTCTGAACCACATCAACATCACCAGCGTTATCCATAGCAGTTGGTTCTTGCCAAGTTACGTTAGCATATGAAAGACCTTGAGTTGTATTTGTCTCCATATTCGTTGGACAATTCATAAACCAAGGCATTTCTGGATCTTACAGTAAATAACATAATAATACATAAATTATGTTGTAAATTGGTAAAAATAGAAAATAAAACAACATAGGCCTATATTTATTGTCTTATGTAGCAAACCTCAATTGAGACTGACAAGAAATAATTTCATCCAAATTGGCTACTAACCTACCACAGTCACATCAAAGGAACAATTAGCTGTGTTACCATATCGATCGATGGCTGTGTATACAACAGTAGTTGTTGATACTGAGAAACCTTCACCAGTTGTATAATTTGTGTGCAGTGTGACACTGCCAGAATTATCTATTGCAGTAGGTGCGACCCATGTTACGTTTGCGTAAGAAAACATTTGTGTAGTGTTTACAACGGTGTCATTTGGACATCCTACAATTACCGGCTTTTCCTGGTCTGTAAAATATTGGTTAAGTATTCAATATATACATATAAGAATAAATATAAATTGGCATAAGCAAAACATACAAGAACATTTTTTTGGCATTAAAACTTATAACCGATGCAGAAACATGATAAGAAATCGTTACATAATTACCATCATATATAACATAACATGTAACTATATACTATGATAACAATGATAACTTCCAAAAAATCAGAATCATCTCACCCCATTATTCTACTGTCATCATATTCATATATGTAGGACTGGTGA